TAGCGGGCTTTGTTTTCAGCAAGACATATCATAAACATCATTCGATATGAGATTTTGCGATCAATATTATAAGTTCTAATGATTTTTTTTTTTTGAAATTTGACTAAACAAAGTTATGATCGAGTTGAATATATTTTGTCTAAAGTGATTGATAGTATATATATTATAGACACATTTTCGTCTTATGATATAGTATAAACCAACAATTTAACTTTTTTTTTTACTTCGTTTAAATAAGAGTAGTTGTACCCATACAGAATTATTATCTTTCTCAGTATGATCTCTATTATCATATGTATTTCCTTTATCAATTCGTATTTAAACTTATAAAACTCATACATGTTCTTGGAGAAGACATTACAATGTTCTATATGGATGTTTTACACTAAAAAATTAATTTGACTAAAATTAATCTTACCAAGATCGTGTTTGTTCCAAAGGTTGAGACCCCTAATAATATGTCCCAGTTTTGGTTTATTAGTCCCTACAACATCCTATATAAGATTTTCTGAAAATAATCATTATTTGATTTGAGGCTATTCTTAGTGTTGTATTGATGAATCTTAGCGGGCTTTTGTTTTCAGCAAGACATATCATAAACATCATTCGATATGAGATTTTGCGATCAATATTATAAGTTCTAATGATTTTTTTTTTTTTTTGAAATTTGACATAAACAAAGTTTATGATCGAGTTGAATATATTTTGTCTAAAGTGATTGCATAGTATATAATATTATAGACACATTTTCGTCCTTATGCTATATAGTATAAACATGACTGTGTAGTATATATATATATTGTTTATATTATATAATATATAACATAGTATGTTGTGTACCATAATTATATAATGTATATATTATGCCATTATATATTACATAGCATATAATATAATATATATATATATATATATATATATATATACACATTACATATTATTTTATTACACATATACATATTTATCATTTCTTTTTTATTTTTCAGATCCAACCCAATGGTTACAAGCTCAGAAGCCCAACAATGATTCAAAAAGTAGCAGCCAAAATCTAGAGCCCCACCCGAGACCCGAGACCCGAGTCCACTGAAGCCCGACCTAAGCCAACCTTTCACCTGAAACAGTTAGGGTTTTCAAACCTTAACCCTTCTTTCCTCAGCGCCGCATTTCCATCCCAATCACAACACCACCCGGTCAATAGTCCGCCTTTCTCGGCCATCAGTGACTTGGGTTCATAGGACTCACCAACAAACAACAAACCAGCAAGGATTTTAGTCCGAGTAAAACTCTAAGAAAAACTGAACTAAAAATGGATTTCCAGAGCTATAAATACATGTACAATCACAATCAAACCACACAAGAAATATACAAAATCACTAGAGAAAACACTCAAAAAATCGAAGCATTTGTAAAAATTTCGAAGAGAAATAAAGTCGTAAAGTTCTCACCTTTTCTTGATTATGTACTTGCATGAAGGTTATTTTTTATTTTTTTCCTTTGGTTTCGACTTGAAAAATACCAAATCGGTCGATGATCGGGGGAGGGTTTCGAGATCTTTTTGTTCAAATCTAGCCCTCCCCGATGCTTGTTTTTGAAAACTAAGGTGGTTTTTGCAGTAAGGGTGAGGAGAGCTTTCGAAAACTGTAAAAAAAATTTGGTCACCGCCGATGAACGACGGCCGGTGCCGATCTACGGCAGCAGGCAAGGTGATGGTCGGCCGGACTCTGGGTTTGGCGTCGTGTTCTTCATTTGCTGAAGAACATGATGAACAAGGGTGAGAGTTTGAAAATTTTGGTTTTGATCGGTTTTGAAAAAAGGAGGAAAATGAATAAGTTTTGGTGGTATTTGACTTATATATTGACCCGTTGACCCGACCCACGGACCCTAGGATCTGTGTGTTTTTTCGAAAAAGTGGGATAATTACAGTTTCACTCCCTCATGATTTGTAAACGTTTATTTTTCCCCTTAAAATCGATTTTTACCCCGAATTGCTTTTAATTTTGCCACCCACTTTATTTTTCTTTCAATTTAGCCCTTTTAATTAATTTACAATTTAATTATTTTTTATTATTATTTTATTTTTTTCTTCTTAAATTGCTTTTAATTTTATTTTATTTTCTTTTTTTAAATTGTTTTGATTTAGTTCTAATTTGTTTTTATTTTACTTCTTTTCCTACTTTTAATTATTCCTTTTTTATCCTATTTTTCATATTTTTTCTTTCTTTCTTCTCCTTTTAATTGTTTTTAATTTAATTTAATTATTTATTTATTTCTTTTAATTGATTTTTATTTAATTTAATTTTTTTTATTTCTTTTTCTTCTTTTTAAATTGTTCTTTTTTATTTTTAGGTAACTTTTCGGTTTCTTTTTATTTATTTCATTTCTTTCTTTCTTTTTAATTTAGTTTTATATAATTTTTATTTTCCTTTTTTCAATTTAATTAATTTATTTTTGAGGCATATGTTTGTTTTATTATATTTCTGTTATTTTTTATTTTTTTTTATTTTTTTTTATTTTTTTTGTTTGATTTATATTTAATTTCACGATTAATATTTTTACCCTTAATTCAATAGACCCTTTTTTCTTTGTATTCTTAATAGGCAATTTGTTTTTGTTTTTATTTCTTTTAATTCCTTAGCATGCACATATTTGTTTTTACTTAAAACATTGTAATTTAACTTTTTTTTTTGTATTCAGCATGTAACTTTACCAATCTAAATTTTTTTAATTTTTAAGGGTATTTTAATCAATCGGATGTAAGTAATTTGGTTCGAACTTTTATCTTTCAATTTTCTTAAGTAAGACAACTGAGAAATTAATTAGTACCGAAAGGGCAGTTCAAGGGTGCTAATCCTTCCTTGACTGTAACCGACTCCCGGATCCGACATAACTTTGGCAAGATGCAGATCATGTAAGAAATTGAGGTATTCGATCAACCCATTTGTTCTTAAAAAATGATCGGTGGTGACTCTAACCCATTTATTTCAAGTCGAAGTCTAATTTCAGGCCCACCCAAAAGACGGCTATAACAAATATGTCATCGTTTTGGACATGAATATGTATCATACCATCACTTTGAACATATAAAACTTATCAAGTTATCGATAAAAAGATGAACTAACAATTGTCATCTAATTAAGAAATATTTTTGCACTGATTGAAACTTTGAAAGTCAAAATCCTAAAAAAGAAGAGAGAAAAAGTATTTAATCATACGTTAGAAATACTAATTTCCAACACTATACCTTTTATATTTTATCATTGATGCTTTCCCTTTCATCATCAAATCTTTTACAGTTTTTTTTAATTTCATTAGAAAAAACATGTTTTTTCAACATCTATAAAGACCATCTTTCCATTTTTCTTTTCTGATTGCAGAAATTCCATCATTTGATTGTTCCGAGAAAGCAAGACAAAAACAAAAATCATGGGCTGAATTGAATGCTCAAAACAGCACAGAAGAGCTAAACATGTCCACTGGTTGGATTAAGTTAAAACCCCGAATTTTTCGTTTTTCAAATTTCTTATACAAACCCGGACCAGGTATATAAAATTAAACCCAATTAAGTAAACAAACCTTTAGAAAAGGTATAAATGTAATAAAAGTACACTTCCAAAAAAATATATAAATACCAACAGGGGTTGATTCAAGTGGTAAGCAGTTTGATTATGCTTAAGCAAACTCTCAGGTTCGTCCTTGTGTTTGCAGAAAATCTCTATCGGTAGACTCACCCACCAAAGTTAAGGGGTTGTTTGTTTGCCTCTTAATGGAACCATTCAGCTTTGTTTCGCACCTCTGAATGATTCAGTGCTGATTGATTCAACAAAACAGTGTTGAATAATTCAGCATAGAAGTACATTCTGAATGATTCAGAGCCATTATCAAACAGCATGTCATATTCAGAGCTAATTCATACAGAGTCTCTGAATCATTAAGCGCTTAATCATTCTGAAGTAAATAAACAACCCCTAACTGCGCGACGCGGATCAATTTAGATTAATCATGACAAAACCTTAGAAACAAGAGAAAAAAAATATAAATAAAAGTAGAATCATATCCTCTTTGCTCACAAACAGCCTCACCACTTTATCTGTAAGACGACACGACAAGAAAAACAGGTGCCAGAGCCGGACTCGGTTTGGTTCGCAAAGAATCAACTTCCTTGAGAATGCGTGAGTTTCTTCTATCCCATTTGAGTGAAGTACCATTGCCTCTAATGGAGAAAACAGTCTCTGGTTGGAACACCAAGAGAGCAATACAAGAAACAAGAAGGAACCCTCTTGTGCCATCCGAAAACCCCATGTTTTATGTTGAAAGAGAAGACAACAGGTACTATAAGAAAATTTTGAACTTTGTTACGAGTCCGAAACAGAGACAATCAGCAGCTTATAAATGATTTGCAGCCTATGATTCTATGGGACAGGGAAGAGTAAAAAGCATAAAAAAGCAATCTTGGGTCCCGTTGTAGGGAAGTTTCGGATTCACTTCAATCAGTAGCCTGCCATGGAAGCATTACAAGATTCTGGACTGGTTTGAACAAAAAATTTGGAATTTGAACACTGTCCTTGGGAACACAAATCTATCTTTAGAATTCCAAGCTCTTCATTCAACAAAAATTCCTACTTTCCCTTTATGCTTTAATTTCCATTGGTTTTGCCCAACATCTCCAACAACGGATCTTAACAATACAGTTCGAAGTTTTCAAAAAAAATTAAAAAAATGGAAATCTAATTAAAATTTCTTAATAAAATTGAGACTTAATGAGAATTGTTACAATTTTCAAGGGATAGAATTAAAAATATTCAGAAAGAACTAAGATATAGTATGATTTTAAAAAAAAATGAAAGGACCAAAGTATGCTTGTGTTGTATCGCTTGTTGGCGGTCCAAACTCTGTTTAATAAAATATTTATTTTATTAAAAATCATCTCTTGATATTATCATCATTTTCACCTTCTATCATACTTATTAAATGATAATGTGACACACATAAGACACGTGACAAAAAATAAAATATTTAATTTTAATTCAACATAACAATTGAAGTACAACATGGTAAATGCGAGGTAAACGAATCACCTCGTTTTCTTTCACTGCTAGTAGAAAAATGGTTTACCCATAGTTCCATCACTAGCCTACCATTGCCACTTGCCGGCCGGAGATTATTGAAGTGGCTCCTGATGAGGAGATGCCGCAGGTCCCGGTGCTATAGTGAACTGTAGACCATGACGTTGTCCGGCTATCATGAACGCAACTTCGGCTGCTGCAAGAGCCGCTGCTTCCTGTTTCAATAAGGAAAAAAGTACATTATTTGCCAAAGATCTACAATTCTGGATAATCTGAACCACTAAAACAGTACGAGAACATTTAGCTTTGGCATGAACGAGACAGTTTTTATGCGATATTTTCTTCATAAATCCGAAAACGGCAGAAAGGCAGACGCGAATATACATTTTTCAGTCTGTGATGTAGATCACCCTCAACATGACTAAGAAAAGTAATGCTCTTTCATTTTATTTTCAAGAAACCGAAGAGATATTACCTGTCTCTGCCTTCGGCGCTGCAATATGCTGATGGCCCAGGCCATAATGTAACATGGGAGAAGAAAGCTGGCAGCGCGAAGCAGGAAAAGCTACATTAATGTTAAAAAAATCGCTTCAGTTAAAAAAACAAATCAATGTGAATTACTAAAGGATTAATGAAAATTCATCCCATGCTTACAGAGAAAAATGCAGATGCATCATCATCTCCATCTCCAGCTGTTAGGTACAGAGCATGCCTTAAGAGTAGAAGAGCCATTAACTGCAAATAAACCGAGAAAATAAGATGCAAACAGATATAGAAGAAAAAAAATTAACAGCATGTCATTTTATTTATTGGGTACAGATAATATGAACGGTAAAAAATACTTCATAAAACTATAAACGGATGGAAGGAACCATGGAGATTTTATTACTAACATATGCCAATACGTAGGAAAGGGTAATGAATTGTTTTATTTCTATAGAGAAATGTAAGCTTACTATTAGGACCGCAGACCGGCAAAATGCAGCTCCACTAAAATTGGTATCAGCATATTCATCATAATCTGCTTCCAAAAGATGGCGTTCTGCAGCAGCCACGGCTATAATTCGAGGGTCACGCAAATCCAAAGGAGCACCAGAGATTGTCCAACCCTCACTTTTGAACATAAAAAAATGGACAATAAGATATCAAAGGTTATGAACATAAACAGTAGCAAACCATCCTAAAGATTACTGAACTTATAGATAAATCCTCACCAACAGAAAAAGCTCTTGGTTACATGACCAATATTGATGACAAAAACCGAGAAAGAAGAGATCGAATTTAAAACGACACTGATCTTTATTATGTCTATATTCTGGCTATGTGGGTGCACTTCACTTGCAAGACTTACCCGATATCAATTGTAGTATCCTCTGACTGAGGTGGTGTTGGTGGCGGTGCAGTATATCCTGGTTGGTAAGGCTGCAAATTAAATATATTTAACAGAAAAAGTGAGTACATTGACCCAAGAATTCAGCTCAACACTAACCTTGTTTCAATGAATGAAACATTACATGATTATGTTCGGTTTCCAAAGGAAAAATGAAATTAACATGGTCATCATATGAATCTTCCAACAATACACACATAACCACACATGTATACCACGCCGAAACAACCTCCTAGCAGCTAGTGGTAAAGTGCTATCAAATGCATAACCTGTACCAAAGATTTGTGGCTCAAATATTTGCAAAAGCACTTTTCTGTCATTTAAAAACATTCAGCGGAAAAATAAGAAAATTTATCAAAAGATTGATGGATAAGACCGTATTTATCAGCAGACAAAACTTCAACTTGAACCAGAATTATTTTTAAGTCCACAACACAAAACGTGAAACATATTTCATACTGAAAATATAGGAAGTTATAAGAAACGTCCACCTTGAGAACCGAGGATTAAGGGTCAAAGAGTTATGAGCACGAGCACACTGTCGTTTGAAAACTAGCGACACAAAATAAGACATTTATGTAAACCTGGTGCATAAGACCCTGGTAAAACTCCATTTCGTAAACCCCAAATTGCTCCATCACATAAAGCAAAACTTATGTCATCATGAACAAAGACATAGATCATAAGCACCCAACCTTGGGCATGTACACACCAAAAATGTGATAAACAATATATTTCACACACACAAAAAATGATTCTTGCATACAGGAAGCTTGCAATCTGCTGGGTCATTTTAGATCAAATCATCGTTTCCAAAAGCCCGGTGCTGAAAAGGTAGCTACTGATGTTCATCTCATTTTCAACTTGCAGGAAAAATTTACTTTAAATAACAAAGGCGTCAAGATTATTGCCACGTCATATTCAATAAATTCACTACTGTTTGTAGTAGGAGAGTGTGACCCGCTGAGCATATAATTTGCTAATTGAAAAATGACAACCAGGTAGATGAAGTTATAGGGAAAATACCAAGTGAACAATTCAGCAATATAAAATGTTAATTGAATCAAGACTATATAAGCTGTCATCCATGAATTAACAGCTGAGCAACTATTCCATGTACTTAGATGGATTCATCCAGACACCTTGAAACATAAATATTATCCATATTTTGAACATCAAAGTCCATGCTTTCATACTTAAAATCATTAAGGGACAATGGGACATAAAGGATCTTGCATTTGGGGTTAAACAATGCAGCCTAAACGAGTCAAAGATAATAAAAGGGACAAGCTCAAAAGACCTTTTTTTTCAAAATGGAAATAATATTTATTAAAAATATTCCACTGTGATACCAACGGAAAGAAGAAAAAAAAATATCTGTAAGCATTTAGGATGTTGTTAGCCTAAAGATTACAATGGACACTTCAAAACCTAAAAGTCAAAATAAACAAACAGAGACAAAAAGGGTAAAAAGAAAAAAGGGCATTCGTCAAGATAAGGGTGATCAAAATTTGAGGTAATGCAATAATAACCATATGACTAGGCAGTCTATTCTCAACTGAAATAAAAATTGCCAGAATATAAAGGCCTTTTCCCTTTTTAAGGGCATGAGAAAAAGCATCATTCAACCAGGTAGATGTGCAACTTTACACCACTGTTAGTAAATCGATTTGTCAAAAAATGAAACTAAATTATAATTCTTGACCTCTAGAACCAGATTTATTTTCACAAGTATGCAAATTGATGTGGGTGAATGCCAAAACAAAAGGTAGGAGATCTCTTCCTCCTAGGTGAACTAATGAAGATGGAACCATTTTACAGAGCAGGGGTTTACCTGATGACAAATCTCACAAGTTATATCTCCTTTCTCATTGCACCAATGCTGAACACATTTCCTGTGAGCAAACTGGATGATAAAATTATGTCAACTAATGCTATTACACTAAAAGAATAAGAAGACAAGATAATGAATCCATTTCTTAATTAAAAGAGAAGTACTCCGAAATTAGATGGAAAACCATCAAACATTTCTCCAAATCACGACGACATTCAAAACATTAGCCACACATATATTTTTTACACGACTTAGGGCTAAGATAATTGATACTTTTAGAGATAATAGAAGCCATCATTGCAGCAAACCAAACATATTTACTGAATAAATTGAAATATAAAGCTTCAGGGAATAAGTTTCAAAACACTCCAAAACAATGAATACCTTCAAACTACCACTACATGCACAAGGTGTCTCCAAATTCTTAATGTCATCCTCCTCCTGGCAGATTCGGCATTCAGCTGCCTGTATAAGTGGTTCTTCTTCGTCATAGGAACCATATTCTTCCACTTCCTTAACACCAATAGCACAAGCATCTGGCTCAGAGGCTTGGGAAGAGCCTTCACCAGAAGATCGAACAGCCTCAGTTTCTTGCGTTGATTGCAAACTCTCAGGTGTTATAAGACGGTCCACACATAAAACCAGATGATCGCCCATTTTTATCCAAAATGAAAGGTCCTTACACAACACACAACGATGCATCAAAAGTTTCAGTTAGTCAGATTAAAAATTGAGGCTTGAAATGCGAAATGTACTTCCAAAATTAACACACAGGGCTTTAACTTTAAAAGTTGGTGCTAGATTTAACTGTTAGGAATATAACAAAACTAAGCAAGATAGATGAAATCAAAATCTTTTTTTTTCTTTTTTCTTTTTATGTAATTACTGAAAACCCTTGGTTATGAACATCAGATGGTGTGAAATTCCCTTTCTCATTAACTCTATTGTTTTATTATTTATTATCATACAAATTTCGAATTTTCTCTTTATTTATTTCATAAAATCTCTTCCTATCGGCTATATCCCCAGAATTAATATCCAAATAAACAGACTACTCCCGAGGGTTTCATCTTTAGTTATCCAGGAAGAAAATTCCATCTTTTGCTGAAGAGTTTCATTTTCATTTTCAAATTTCCATCGAAAATGAGAAAGGAAAAGAACACAAAGCAATTCCGTTTTCTGGGCAACCGAACCATACCAAAATTCCCAAACTCAAAAGAAAAATCAATTCAAATCCCCCCCCCCCAAAAAAAAAAGAAAGAAAGAAAGAAAAGAAATCAGATTCATGATCAGAATCGAACGAATCCATTAACTAAAACCAAGACATAACAGCACAAACAAATTACCCGTAACTGGCGCTTTGATCTTGGAATCTGGAATGTTGTTTTCGCTTATCTTTTTATAAAGCTTTAATGAAAAGTCTCTAGTCTTTTCTTTCCTTTGCTTGGAAATGAAACAAAATTGACAAAAAAAAATCTTTTTCCACATAAAAGAATATAATTTTAGTGTAAAATTAAATGTAAAAGGAAAAAGAATTTTGAAAGAGACATTGACGATTTCAACGTTGATTTTGCGGTTTGGTGACTTGGCTGATCGGCTAATACAAGAACCGGAAGCTTTGGATAACGTCCGTCCAAGGACAAGGACTAACTTTGTAATTTCTAGAAGTCCGTCGCCGCTCGGTTTTCTATCCTTACTGATAACGGACGTCAAAGGTTATGATCGGAAATTCGTTTCTTCGTATTTCGGATGAAAACAATTAATACATGTCGTCAAAATCACGAATTCATAAAAAAAAATCTTTCTAATAAATAATATTAATGTATAATTCTAGAAGTCAAAGTAAATCACTATAACAATACATCCGATACTAACGAAAGATAATAAATATAAATGAAAAATAACCAAAATATATTCAATGTTTATAATAAAATAAATATTATACAAATATGAAAATTTTAGTGGTTAAAGAATCATTGTTATTTTTAGAGGATACGAGTTCGAGCACAAACGATTGCAAGGGTAATTAAAAGTTTACTGTAAAATAATTAATAATATTTGGAACGAATACTATTTTATAATCATTTTAACTTCATGAAAAAAAATATGAAAACTTTAGATAAAATAAGAAAAGGAATCTATTTATGTTTGTGTAAAATTGGGCGAGTATTATACATCCTTACGAACATTTTATATTCTTAATATTTTAAAATTTCAATCGTTAAATCTATTGATATTATTGTACTTATTATGGAGGTATATTTTCGAGTCAATTTAATATTTTCATAAATTAACAACTTTATTAATATATTTGACAATTAAAAATTGATTAAAATGTAAAACTCAGACAATTGGATATTAAAACCTAAAATTTAGAAACTTTGATATTTTTATTATTAAAAACTATTGAAAAATATTTTTTTATTAATGTAAATATACATATATATATATATATATATAAACCCAAAGCTTAGACACCTATATATCAGGGCCGGTCCTAACTATTTATAGGCTCGGGGGAAAAATAAAAAATTGGGCCCCTAATATAAAAAAAAGAAATATATAATATAAAAATTTTATTAGATTTTTTATTAAATTAAAAAAATAGTAATTCATTACAATATAAAAGATGTAAAAAAATATTTAAGAATACAAATACTTATAAAAAAATATTACATTCGATTATTTTTTATGCAAAATCATTGATTATAGTGTTAATATCAATGTTTTCCAAAATATTTTTCTCAATGCATAACATAACATTTGAAAATGAAAGAACGATTTTATCTAAAATTTGAAAATATATAAAATTAAAAAAAGAATTTGAAAACATTTATTACGTATAATTTTAAGAACAAACTTTAATATGATTCAAGCACCATAATAAGAAACTTCAATATGATTCAAGCACCATAATTGATAATAAACAATTGTGATTTTACGTGTGAGAGAAATATGATAAAATAAAAAATTAGAATAATAATTTTCAAATGAATCGTGAAACATGAAAGATAAAAGAATCATGCTAATTATACTTAAATATTTTCCTCTCATGAAGTTTTGAAAAAAAAATTAATAATTTTTTTATTGATATGAAAAATCGGAAAAGAGATTTGGTGAATTGATAGAGGGAATTTGGAAATACCACAATTAAATAGTTGTTTTTTTGAATTTTGATAAAGAAATATTAAATTAAAATTTTATGGAATGACAATTTATTAACGTTAATATAAAATTTAATAAAGATAATTGGCACCTTAATAAATTCATGAGCCCATTATTTTATTGAGTAAACTACGTTTTTAGTTCCTAAATTATTAGTTTTGGTTTATTTTAGTACCTAAAATTTTAATTTTTTCAAAACCATACGTAAAGTGTAGTTTTTTTATTTTATTACCCGCCGTTAAAAAACTTTAATTTTTTATTTCATTTTAGCACCCATTCAAAATTTAACGTTAAGTTTTGAAATTTTTTGAAATTTTAGGTACTAAAACAAATCAAAACTGATAGTCAGGTACTGAACGCGTTAATTTTTTAACAACGGGTACTAAAATGAAATTAAACTAAACATTAGATATAATTTTAAAAAAATTAAAAGTTTGGGTACTAAAACGGATAATTTAGGTACTAAATGCATATATTACTCTATTTTATTTTACACTTTTTTTATTTATTATCAGAAAAATAAAAATATTATAGTAAATAAAATTATTTTGTGGGGCGGGCCCCCTCCTGCCGTGGCCCAGGGCCGACCCTGCTATATATTAAAATGCAATTTGTCTTTTATGTCGTATGGTTGAAATCGAGAATTTTTAAAATTTCTTTTTTAATGATTTAAATTTTAATTAAATCCAAAACTTAGCAATATAAAATATAAAAAGAAAAGTGGGCAGAAAAATAAAATAATACTTGGCCATGGGTTAATGAGATAATGGTTTTTGACCAAGTCATGTTTAAAAAATCCTTAAATAATATTACAAAACTATATTAATATGTATATTCATAAGTTATTATCAAATAAAAGTTTTAGACCAAATGGATACCCAAGAGATTTAATTCTTTTATTTTTTTTATTTAAAAACGTAAATCACTTTGTCTCTCGAGTATAATATATTTTCTAACTATATCATTCAATTATAAAAATATTAAATAATCACTTAATTGTCAACATTTTAGAAATAAATTTAGATATTTATTTGGCACGGTGGATTAATGATGTTACTTGGAATTGATTTGTGTGAAGGATGTTAATGAATTGGTGGGTTCATCCACTCTTAATATTCGATGATTGATTTTAAAATTTATTTGTAGCTAAACATTAATAATAAATTAATTTGAATCTTTAGCCAATAGTAAAAAAAAGCAGATAATGAAATAAATTGCGGGAAAAAGAAGTTTTTTTTTTAAGGTTGAACGTGGAAGAGATAATATTTAAAACGAGTTAGTAAAAATTAAACGATTATATTATTAAAATGTTGAGGATTGTTTATTTAGAATTATAATCAAATTAAAATAAAATGTAAATTTTGAGATTTAATTTATCATTATTATGATAAGGTTACTGACTGTCTCAATAATTATTATTTTTTATCTAAAAACTAACTATCAATGATTATTTTCTACTTCTCATTATTATGATCATTTAATAATGTTTGATACTTGAGAGACATAATTAGAAAATAAGATATAATAGAGAGGCTGTCTAAAGAGTTTACTCAAAATTATTTGCAACTACTGATTTGAAAATCTAAAACCTTTACTAGTATTATATGAGAAATTTTGTATTTATTGACTTTGGCTATTTCTTTTCCCTCAATTGAAAATTTGTGCATATCCACATCTACTTATGACATCTCTATTATTTTTAGTGATGCATCTAAGAAATTTTCATCCCAAAAATAAGATATAAAAATGTTTAAATCATTCAATTTATAAAAAGTGATGAAAAGATCATTTCTATTATAAGATTGGAAAATCTATTAAAAGGTGATGGTTGAAATTAATTTATTATTTTTTCGTGAACATTTTTTTATTTTATATTATTAATTTCATTCATCTATTTTTACACATCTAAGGATCCTGAATCTATATAAAATTAAAAGAATTTTACATTCTATAATAGGATAAAATATCAGACTTAATAAAATACTTACTTTTTAATTTATGCAATTCATAGAAACTGACATGATCTCATCAATGATTTAAGATGTGTTTCCTATTGAACTTGTTCAACCATGTTTGAGTAGTAGTATGATTTTGCTTCTAAATTGTTGAAAAATAAGTTGCTACAAAATAAGGCGTTAGCACTGACTGAAAAATATAGAATACACCAATCATAACGATAATCGTGTCGTGGTATTAACCACTGCCTTAGAAACAAATTCATCATGATGTGTATAATCGTTACAATGGACGAATGGCCTCTCGAGGTTAACACGACTCTCTAAATTTCGTACATGCAAAAGATGGAGTGGACTTTAGTGGTACTACTCTTCTCTCAAAACTCAGAATTAGAACTCATAAAAGTCATGAAAACACTAAGAAGAAGGATTGTGATTCAAAGCAAATGTTTGCTTGGGACATCTTGAATAAGAAGACTTGCTCATTATTTATAACCTAAATAATGAGGAAAAATCATCATTTCATTTAATAGCATTAAAGTGCTCTTCAAACTAAAATTAAAAAACATTAAAATGTTTTAATTCTGAGCATTAACAACATTTCCCAACAAATGCAACATAATTATTTCGTAAAAAATGAGAGCAAAGAGGTTAATACACAAGAAGGGAAATAACGAGATTAGTTGTTTAAGCACTAGTGAACGTATCTAGAACTAGTACAAGTGATGATGAGTAATTATTCTCTTAGATAAGTGAATGAATCTTGAACTTTCTAAGATTAGGGTGAACACATAATACACAACTAACCCCTTCATCCATCGAAGTCGATGTGTCTACAAAGTATATATATATGAATGTATATATATAGCCCTCTTTCATCAAGATTCTAGTAAGTGTACTAGAAAAATGACTCAACATTTTTCATAGAAGATGGTTGGTTCTTTCTTATTTACATAGGTTATTTCATCAAGTTTATCTCAACATAAACCACCCAAAATCGGGCTATGAAATAATTAAGAGCTTTTACAATAGCTCAACTTCACAATAGGTAAGGTGAATTTCTTCAAGTTCATATTAAATGTACCATCCAAACTCTGGGATAAGAAATCATTAAGAATAAATATTTAACCTCATTAATCGGTGAATTCAATATGTCATTCTCACTAGATTCAATTAGTTTACAAACACCAGAGACAACCAAAGCTTTTCTAAGCTTCACCCTTTCTCTCATTTTTTTCTTTCACTCATCCACTCATACATTACACTAGCTACAAAACACGCATATGTATAAGTGTATTAATTGCCTAAGCATGCTTCAATTCAATGTCGTGTTTGACTTTGATTTTACAACTTCTTTTCTTAATTGATAAACTTTGAATTGGATACTA